CTGCTTTGTAAGGCAGTAGAGATTATTCTTGTATAAGTGTACCCTGTTGTGTTGTACAGTTACGAAGATAGTAATTGCTTGTGTGGTCAAGACTTATCAGTTATAAGCCATCACTAGATTATTTATTTAGACTTGAGGGTTACCCTGATCACTGTGAGGGTTATCTGGTTATTGTAAGGCTTACCCTGATCACTGTGAGGGTTACATGGTTATTGTGAGGGTTACCCTGATCACCGTGAGGTTTACCCTGATCACCATGAGGGTTATTCTGGTGTAGGTTAAGGATAAGGCTTTTAATCACGTTCATGGTGCAGTTGACCACGTAGGACTACCTCCCCGTGAGGACAATTTTGTATATAGTTAATTGCTGTTGTATATAACCGATAACTGAGCACTGACATTGAATAAACCAATCATATAATTGCCTTAGAAATCACTGGTCACCGTGAAATTTAGTCAGTCCTGTATCACTTGTATTGACATTAATTGTAATTAATTGACATTGGGATCAATTACCTAATCACAGAGCGGTGGTAAACTTCCACCAAACGAATAGCCCCTAATGCATAGTCCACCGTTCGTTAACTGATATCCCCCCCTTGCGTTTGGATAGCCGCTCATTCTTGCGTAAGGTTAAATAAATATATTTGTGGGGTTAGGCCGGGTCAATTCTATCTCTGATCAGGCCAGTCTGCTGGTCCGCAACAAAAAGGTGTCAGTTGTCCCGCCACAGAACCAAGTCAACACTTGTGATCAAACTGCTCCACCGGCGGATAAACAGCACAACGTGATACACTCTTCATTACAGCACACGAACCATGCAGCAAGTTCGGTGGTTTTTGAGATTGCTCCTTTCGAAAGAGGTCACTTAGTTAGCCGGGACAGTTTAACCCTTGATAGTGGTACGTGAGTGTAATGCTCTGGCACACTGCCAACTGTCGTTGAAGCAGTTGTGTCTGTTGTGATGATGATGCCACAATCATCTCCATCATCAGCAGAGAAAGGTTGCTGCGGCAATGAAATCCCTGTTCCGTTAAACGAAGCTTTGGCTGTGGTGGCACTTGGATTGTGGTGAATGTTGCCCACCGGTGCAGCTGTGAATAGAATATAATAGATAAAACACGAGTTTCACAACATCAAAAAATACATGTTACATTTAAAAGCACTAAAATATATATACAATTCCAATTTAAATTCCAAAAACCTGTCCAATAAGGAGATGAAGTGGGCATGAAACACATCACAGCTGATCAAAATATGCAGTTCAATGAAATTACCTTCTGACTTTTGAATTCAATGTGAGTATAGCAGGTGGTAGAAAAACTTCCTCTAAATCTGTCTTTTTTATCCGAAGCTGGTGTATATGACAACTAAATCAGTGCAAAGCCAAACACACAAATTTATCTTAATAAAATAATTTATTACCTGTTTACAGTCCCTAGGTTCACCCTCACATAGTTTTGTACAATTCCTCAAATGAGGATATTCATAGAAAAATTACGTCAGAGAATTGTTTTCGGGTTTAATTAAATGAACTACATTAGACGCCAATAACACCAAACCCTATGTTTTGGAGGTTCAATCACAAGACAATAGTACTACAATAGCAAATCAAGTCAATTAGCTTCAACAGCGAAATATTCCACAGTTACAACACATGTAATTACCGGTAAGTGCACCAAAATTACTTCAAAAGCCACCAAGGCTACTTCCAAGTTCAGGAGAAAATATTCACCCGACACTAAGGGTAAACAGTGCCACACAGGCTAAATGGTACCACACAGGCTATAGTGCCACACAGGGTGAATAGTGCCACACAGGCTATATAGTGTCATAAACAGTGCCACACAGGCTAAATAATGCCACACAGGCTAAACTCTACAACCAAGTCTTTAATACAATATGACATAACAGTTTATCTTGGTCTGCATGGGCCTCGGACATCTACGGTAGTCGTAGCGCA